ATCGTCGAATACAGTTCAAATTGTGTCGGTTTTTGACAACAAAATGTCCATTTTTTCCAATGAGATAAAATTGAAATTTCCACTGAAAAAGGATTTTTCAGAATGCTTCAATACTCTTTCAGTTTTTTGTCTATTTTTACAAAGTTTGGCTATTTCATGCCCATTTTCCTTCGAATTCGCTCTTGATTCTGCTTGATTCTGCTATTTTCTGTTGACCAATAGAAGAAAAAAATGTTTAAAGAACAAACTAAATGGATGTGCAAATTGCTTTTTGTCAACCGTATCGGATATTTATTTCATAGAATTGTATGTTTCCTGACATCTTTTTTGCTTAGATAATAAATTCAAGTTGTTTTCTTATTTTAAAGAAACTTCAGATTAAGTTTGGATTGTGATTTGTGAATGACAAAAATGAACCGAAATAGAGGTAATATTGAATTTGGCGTCGAATTGTACGATGTATCTATTCAGAGCCAGTACAAAATTGCATGATTTATTTATTCGATTTGTTTGAATGAGTGTTTGCTTTTTAGCTATCATAACAGCAGAATCTATATTTGCCTGAGCTAAACTAAATCTGTAGCTTTATGAAAAAAAAGTAATTCTATGAGATGTATTGGAGATTTCATGAAGTCAATTGACGTTCCATCGTCGTAGTGTAATATTCCTTCTCGGTTTCACGCCATTTGTTACCCAATCGATTCTGCACAGTCTGATAATCCTTTTCGTCACAGAATCTTAGTGTGAGCTTCTTCAGCGATGTGCATTTTTTCATGAATGTGATCACTTCATCGATCGGAAAAGCACAATATCCAAAATCGACTTCATCTAATGCTGGCAAAGTAATCTTCAATAATGCACCCGGCTCGCCATATTTGTTGCCCGCATAATTAAGCTTGGTAAGTGTTTTGTGCTTGCTGATGAAATTAGCCAATGTCTGGTCCATAACAATCGATATAACAATCAATTCTTCAAGTTTGTCGAATGTCATTGGAAATCTGCGTGCCCATCCTCGTAATTTGAGCTTTCTCACATTTGGAAAGTGCGCTGTACCGTTCTTAGCATTCGAGAAGTATCCAAATGGATGGATTTCTAGGCTTTCCAGATGTTGTAGATGTTTGCTAAAGCTCTGAAGGTGTTTGGCATCGATATGGCCATAAATGTATAACTTTTGTAGGTTCGGGTTTAGACGCAAGAGCTCAGCAAAATGCTTCTGGTTCAAACGGTTCTTTTCAACATCTGGCAGGTACAGACTCAAATGTTGAAGATCAGGAAAATTAACAGCGATGTCGTTACAATCTGATAGCTCGTTTGCACCCAAAAATTCCAAGCGTTGAACTTTCGGGAACCATTTATTGAGTTCGGACAGCTTGCTTCCCAATTCACAGCTAACAAAATATAGTGATTCAACTGATGAGAATGG